GGTGTTAACAATAAAAAATGTTATTTTCCAAAATATAGCTTCTAAAAACTCTAAATTTAGTAGGAATCTTTTATTTCTTCTGTAGAAATCATTTCAAAATCGATTTAAACAGAGTTTACTTCTGATAGGAATTGTGGAGGAGGGGTGGGTGTTAAAATCTAAAATTTCATTTTCCAAACTGTAACTTCTACAGACTCTAAATTTGGTGGGAATCTTCGTGTATCATGTCAAGTTCAGCTAAGAGTGGATTCTCTCGAATCCTAACCCCAAGCTTTAAGTAATTTTAAGGGTGATAAAGAAGAGAAGAAGGGGTACCTAGAGAATAAGAGGCAATATAGAGAACTATGCAAGGATAAAAAAGAGAGAGAGGGTCGAAAATGGGAGGAGTGGGTGAAAGCCACGAAATCTGAAGCCGAAATCTGGAAGGTGGTCAACCAGAGTAGAAAAAAGAAGGAAAGTATAAACAAGGACATAGGAATAGAGGACTGGGACACGCATTTTAGGAATATTCTGGAGGAGAGAGGGACTTGAGAGAGAGGAGGAAAGGGAGGTAGGCGAGGGAAGAATTGGACTAACAGAGTAGGATGGAGTTTTTTTTGGGAAAATTAGGGGTTGTGGGTAAGTTGAAGGTTCGTAAGGCATTAAGTGAGGATGGAATCCCAAACGAGGTTTGGAATTACGGGGGTAAAGGGGTGTTGAGAGAACTTTGGTGGGTAATTCAAAGGGTATGGAATGGGGAGGGTTGGTCTGAGGAATGGAAGAATGGAGTTATCGTACCAATAAAAACGAAAACCCCATTCGGCCACACCCGAAATGAAAGGTAGATTTCACAGAATAAACATCTTGATAAAATAACATACGTAAGTGGGTTGTACTACACATTGCCTGAGAATGGTTCAATGGCACTCTCAACTTTGATAAAATAACTAAAAATAGTCCAAATGTCAATGTTATACACGTTAAATTTAAGGTAACTTCATGAGTTATCACATGAATTTTTAAAAAATTAGTTATCTCTTTTTAAACAAAAGTTATACATCATTGAAGTCACCGAAAACGTGATTTTCACTATTTTGAAAATTTTAAATTGCCGCCATTTCTAAACTAATTAATCGACTTTGCACATCTTCGAACTCGTTCAAGGTAATTACCTCAAGAATGTGTACCAAGTTTTATCTAAATCCGTTGAGAATCATAGACGCTATCGTGTCTACAAGCCCCGTTATATTATATATATGCACCCCACCATGTTTTCCTTAGACATTTAATAACTTTTGAAGCATTCAGACATTTTTTAACTAACTCATTTATGTGAAAGCTCCACCTTAAAGAAGACTGAAAATACATTCCCAAAAATTTTACAACATTACTGCTCGAAATATAAGTATTATCAACTTTAATCCTCCAACTATCACCATTCTTATTACGCCAAGAATCATTTTTACTAAAAACAAGAAATTTTGACTTAGAACAAGATAACTCTAAACCTAAACTATCAAGCAATCGACAAACATCAATCATAACTTTTTCAACATTTTTAGTGATCTCACTCACGTCCCTTCCAGTGGAAAAGACACAAACATCATCAGCATACTGTACCAAATCACAAACTCCATATGAGTAAACCGTCCTGTCAAGTTCCATAACGTAAACTGCATATAACAACGGGCTCAAGACACTGCCTTGAGGCAACCCACGAAATACCTTACGAGACTCATCAATTTCACCAAAACAAAACTTAAGATTTCTTTCAGACACAAGATTATAAATAAAGGAAATAATTTTAGGTGGAAAACCGAGCAACTTGAGTTTGTCAATTAAAATTTCAGGTAAAACACAATCATACGCAGATTTAATGTCTAAGAAGATAGCAGCCGTAGATGACCTCTCTTTAAAACTTTTTAAAATTTTTAAAAACAAAAAGACTAGATTATCAGCACATGATCTATTTTTTCTAAAACCATTTTGCGAATTAGGTAACACTCCATGATATTCCAACCACCACATAATACGGTTATTAATCATTTTCTCCATAACTTTAGCAAGACATGGAGCAAGCGAAATAGGTCTGAATTTATCCCCATCCCCCTTTGGTATGGTAAAAATAAAATACCTTCTCCAATCTTCTGGAAAATCCATCGAGTCATAAATCTGATTATACAAGTCCAGCAAAAGCTCCCTAGCCTCATTTGGCAAATGAGTTATCATATTGTAATCAATACCATCAAGACCAGGACTAGAACCTATCTTTAAACTTGACATAGCAAAATCTAATTCATCTATGGTAAAAGGAAGATCAAGAAAAGGGTCAGAATTCGGTGAGTTAAAACTTGGCGTAGGGCCTTTAACCCAAGCAGGGCATAAATTATCAATTAAACTTCTTACAGCGTCAATCTTAGCATGACTATATTCATTAGCTGTCTCTTTGTAATTCCATCTATTTTGGAAACCTTTAATTTTGTTCCACAAAAACTTAGGATTGGTATCCTTGGTAAGATTCTCACAAAAATTTTTAAAACTCTCTTTTTTAATTCTTTTCAGGCCTTTCAACGTCTTAGCTTGTTGTTCCTTAAAACTTATAAAATTTTCAAATGACCTTTGACACTGAAATTTTTTCAAGCTCGCTTTCCTAAGCCTTACTAGCCGATCACATTCATGATTCCATCATACAGAAGGAGGAAATTTATGTCTAATACATCTTTTATCATCATTAGAATTTTTACTAGTTTTACGAAAATGAGGCGAAGCTGAAGTGACCCAATCCTCAATCGCAGCAGCAAAAGTAGAATATTTAACCTGAATGTCAGCAGAGGATTTAAAAAGATCCTTAATATCAAGAAGACCGAGTAAACAAGAATCTTCAAAGGAAGACCAACTAACATCACGACCATAAAGTCTATTAGATCCATATCGTTTGAGACCAGGTTGAGGTTTAACATTAAAGTCAATAAAAATAGGAAAGTGATCACTTCCTACGGAGTCATCACCAACCCGCCAATTAAACAACCAATAGGACTGACTATCAGTAAAGCTAAGATCTATAGCCGATTGTGAACCAGAAGACGGACAAAGATAAGTAAAACTACGATCATTAAGACAGATAACATCTATGTCCTCAATAGCGTTAACTATCGCTTTACCAACTCCACAATCAATCGTGGACCACTCCCATAATGAATGGTGAGCATTAAAGTCACCGCATATTAAAAATTGATTAGAAAATTGACTAAAAAATAAACCCCATTCATCTCTATCAATCATATTAGAAGGTGGTCTGTAACAAGAAACAATTGTAATAAAACTATCATCAAAACCAAAATTAATTGCACATAATTCAATCTTACCTCCGCAGTCATATAAATCATCAACCACAGTATACCTCAGTGTATTCCTTACAAGAATGGCGACACCACCGCCATTATTATGTACTCTGTCTTTCCTCACAACATCAAAGCCTCTTAAATATAAATTATTCTTGCTATTGAGTCTTGTCTCTGAAATAATAAAAATATCAATATTATTAGATAGACGCTCTAAATCATGTAACTTAAATCTAATGCTTCTTGAGTTCCATTGAAAGATTTTAATCGAACTCTTAAACTTTTTAGCCATATTTTAATTATTTGATAATTAAGTCACAGTGTAGTTGCACAGCTTTCATAATATTCCGGATCAATGCACAAATATCTGGAGTCGACAAAAAGGCCTTTAGCAGTAACTGTAATGCTTCTCTAATGATGTCTGTCCACTTGACCTTACACTCTCCGCTGACTCCCAAGGGGGCTGTAGGGGGATGATCTGATCTGCTGACTGCATCTTGTAACTTCTTCCAAACCATAGACAAAGCTGGAGCCACATTAATTGAAGCATCATGTGTTTCTTCTGAATTCTTCCTTGGTAAAGGTGGAAAATCTTTCAAAGATTCCACCATACTTCCAGTTAGCTTTCCTTTAGTAATATTACCAGAACTTTGAGATAGCACTTTTCTTGCTTCCATAAATGAAATATTGTCATGAGCCATCAGTTTTTTCGTCTGTAACTCTTTAGCACGTGCTGGACATCTAGGATCTAACGTCGTGTGTTCACCCTTACAATTAATACATTTCTTTGCATTGGAACATTTAACACCTTGAGTCTGCGCATGACTCTGACCACAAACCAAGCAGACTTTATCAAAGGAACATTTAGTACCAATATGACCCATCTTTCCGCAATTGTAACAAATTCTTATGGGGGGTACATACTCACTAACTGGCATGTATACACCCCACACTTTCACTTGTTTAGGCAATTGTAAAGACTCAAAAGTTATACAAACAGACGTAGATGCCTCCCACTTGGGAGATTCATTAGCTGGACGTCTAATTCTTCTCTTCAATCTGTATACATCAACCACTCGCAATCCTGGGTTTTCTGAAGTTAACAACATTTTAATATCTTCATTACCAATATCAAGAGGTATATCACGTATAACACCCTTACGAAGACGAATAAAACTCGGTACAAAAGCTTCCAGACCGACTGCTTTGAGCTTTTCATTCCCCAAACAGTCATTAGCTTTCTCTCTCATTTTAAACACAATTCTCCATGTACTGCGAGAACATTGAACAATGTCATCAAAACGAATTGGCACTGTAGAAAGCTTACGTGCAACATCTAGAATCTTATAATGCTTCCTATCATCATTAGCCAAAAAGCGAACAAAAACCGAAAAAGGGCCTTTATCAAGAGAGTTAAATCTGAACTCATTTGACACTTTAAGATATTTTTGACCATTCATTTCATGACTGGTCTCATTAATTCCATCTGAATAGTCCATATCCGAATCATTAGGATTTAAGTCGTTTCGCACATTGTCTTTTAGCTTAAATTTTTTATTCACATGTTCAATCTTTTTTTCGTGTTGGCTAGACATTGTACCATTATTCGCAGAAACAAGATTATTCATTTCTAGGAACTGCAGAAAATTTCCTTTAACATACCCAAGTCGTTGTCCTTCAATGAAATCTTTGAATGCACGGTCAAGATTTATCGAGACCTTGAGAGGCGATTTGCCCCTCCGACGAATACTATTGCGCACCAAGATTGAGGTTAAAAATTAACGTGAATAAAATAAAAGAAAAAGAAAATTCAATTCAAGAGTAAAATTATATTCACACCAATAAATTAAAGTTTAACTCTTATCAATCAAAAAATTTTATCAAATATCAGTTAGTAATTTATTTAAAAAATACAAAAGAAAACGCAAACGTAAATCAAACGTCAGTTTCACCAACCCTTATCTATCAATCTGTTTTGTGAATGATCGACTTGTCACCGGGCGTGCAAATCACAGGTCCCTACTACTGTCAGGAAATGATCGAGACTTTTTCCTTTTTTTTTCTCTGGAAGCCAGTGGCCTGTTGCCTTTTGTATATCAGTGACCTTTTTTAAGACCAGTTTAAATCAGACAGTGCAGTCTTGGTAATTAAGAAGCAACTACGGAGGAGTTTTATCATGTTGTTTGGAAGTGGACAAGCCCTGATCGGGGGCCAGCATCGTGGGTTGAGACGACAAGACGCCAAGCAGCTGGGCCAGTCAAGTTGGACCGGAGTATCAATCGTCGTTGGTTAACAAAAGTTGAGTTACCAGGTATTTTTGAGTATTTTAGGTCAGAATTGATTAATTATTTAATTAAGAGGCTGAAATAATTAAAGTAAATTTCTCGAGCGGTCATTGCTACATTGGCAAGTTTGGTGCTTTGGAGATTTGTGCGTCAAGGTCATTTGGTTTGTTTTCGTTACTAGATATTTATCTTTAGAGAATGAAATTAATAGATTATTTGTGAATTTATGGTAGATAATTGAATCATTAATTTATTATAGGCCTGTTGGCTATAATAAATTAATTTAGTTAATAATTTCAAGATATAAAGAAAAGTGAATTTGTATAGTAAAGGAAAATGCGTAATTAAGTCAGTGAAGGTCATTCTAGTATGTTCTATAGTTGAAAATTTTGTATTGAGACGCTAAGATATTAACAGTTGATGTTTAGAATTTTGTTTAGAAAAGATTTAATTTAGTAAATTTTGTTACGAGTTCAGTAGAATTTATTAATTGAAAATATTAGCAGAAAATTTAGTAAGTGAACTAGTACAGAAATTTAGTGATTATTTAATGTAGTTGAATTTATTTGCAGTAAATCAGTGTTGAAGTGAAATTTAGTAGATTATGATAGTATTGTAAGTTTTGGAAAGTTTAATTTAGGCCGGTGGATAATGTAATTGGATTGTTAATTTAGAAAAGTTGCATAATGAATTTATTAAGAAATTGTTTGAATTTAAAGGTAATTTATTAGAAAATTTCGATAAAGTAATTCGGTGAATTTAGTAAGTTTAGTAAATCTGAAAATTGGATTTTATTTATGAATAATTGTTTAGAGGTTATTTAAGAAGATTTAAGAAATGAGTTTAGATAATAAGAAATTTATGAGTAATTAAATTTAGTAAAACAGAATATGTGAAGAGTTTTGTTGAAGAATTGTGAATTATGATAGGAATAAAATTTGGAATTTTAGTTCAGTAGTGATTTAGATAAATGAATAAGAATTAAGAATGAATATGAATTTGAAAGCTTTTTATGAAATTTGGGAATTTTATATTGTCAGTTATTCCGCCAAATGACGAGGGTTTTAAGTAATTAAGGAATAGAAGATAGACGCGTAATGGTCTATATTTGAGTTAAAATTTAAGAATCTAGATGCGTAATTGTCTATGATTAAATTTGGAATTAAAGATAGATGCGTAATGGTCTATAATAGAGTTTAGGAATTAAGAAGATAGATGCGTAATGACCTATGGTGAAAAGAATTTAAGGATATTTAGTTTATAAGGATTTTTGGCAAGTGCCTGTTGAGAAAGCGTTTTCTCAGAAATTTATAATTCGATTTGGACTGTGAAACAGTTGGTTCTTTGTAATATTTTAAGATTTATTTATTGTTCAATAAAATTGAGTAACGAGAGAAAATTGTCCTCAGTATTTATTTTCAGCCTATCTCAACTTCTCACGACCCGACTTTCCTGCTCGTGCTCTTCCGGTTTCTGGGACACCACGAAAATAATTCCAGTGGCGCCCTTTTCATAAGGAAAGGGGTGACCAATTGAACAGGGTTAACCACCCCGTTACAATGAAAAATTGATGTGGGTACTCAAATGAAAGGTCTTAATGAGTGTAACATCAGGATGAGCTTATATCTTTAAAAATGTCAATAGTTCACGAGATACAAGGTCAATTTCTTAATTATGTAGAGATAGAGCATTTTGAAATGCAGCCTAAATACTTATCATAAATTGACTATTGGTGAGAATGATACGAATTCATGAAAAAGCACAACTCCAGATCAAGACTTTTCTAACGATACCAAAATTAACCATAAAAATCCATTTTATTATATAAATACATTGGCCACAAAGTTTTGCTTATTCTTTCAACAAAATAGATTACTTTGAGCTCTTCTTAGTCTTAAATCAAGATTCACAGTGATTAAAAAAAATTGAAGTTTTAAAATCTTTCCTGATCGATTTTTTCAGTTTGGAATGCTGTGTCATACAAATAGATTCATTATTTCCCTCATGTACGTTTAAATTACAGTTATACGGTGTTTTTTTCCTCTTTTAGGTAAAGAAAGTTCTAAAGAATTCGACTTTAGGCGAAAAATTTAAAAAACAGCTGAAGCTTCTTGACGAGGGGTCGAGTGACGGAAATCTCGACGTCGACGGCACCGAATCATCTAAAGCTTCCAAGACCGATGCTGAACCCTCTCGAACAAGTTCAAATTTGAAACGATCACTTAGTGGCAAAGGCAAATCATCAAAAAAAAGTAAAAAAGTAAGTCGAGTCAACATTAATAAACAAGTTTTATTTTTGACAGCAAATATCATTGAATTTACAAGTTATTAGTTGAATATCGTCATTTTTTCAATATTTTTTATGGAATTTTGAGCTTAATAATACATTAACTTTAAAACAATAGCATTGTTATGTATGACAGAGATTTAATATTTTTAATTATTTAATTGCAGCGTAAGGTCAGTGATGATAATAATAAATCAGAAATGAACCAGGCAGTATGTATAAAAATATAGATATTTACATATATCTCAAGGTTATTGAAAATGAAACTTTTACAGATCTGCTAAGAATAAAACTTCTTCAATTTTTGAACTCGTAAAAAGAAAAAAAAATTATGAAGCCATAGCAGAAGTATCATTTTTTATAACTTTCAGAATATGCATAGAATAACTTGATATAAAATTAATTTTAGGTGGTAACTCCTGCAACAGTAACCTCAAACGCCGATCATCATATATCTATTACTGAATCAGAAGCTCAACTTGCCCTCATCCCATCATCTCCCTTAGATAAAAATAATTCTCAAGTGAAAACTGATAGGTCAACTTCGAAAAAAGAGAAAAAATCCCGCAAGACAAAAGAGAAAGAGTCGGTAAGTTGAAGATCAATTTTAAATTTTAATTGACGACACGAATCGATACAGTAACATAACTATTCTAGAATTATAATGAAATTCTAAAGTTTCTCAATAAAATAAGTGACGACGTCGATTGGCTGAAAGAGCATCATACCGGACTAGAGTCTTTTATTATTGAAAATCTAACGGCAAACTTAGAAAATTGGAACCAAGTGAAACGTAAGTAATAATTATTTTTTATTGTATTTATCCAATCTTTTATTGAAGTAATTTAACAAACATCATTTAAGAAACAACTATTAATTTAAAAATTTTTAGATGTACAACAAGCTCCATCAAACAATCCAAATCTCACGATTGAAGATATCAATCGTCCTCCAGCGGTTGGATATGTGCGCGTTGACACCAATATGGTAATTAAAATTGTTTTAAAATGAAGTCATCTTATATATAGCCAGTTTTATAGTTTTTTAAAATGATGTTTTAGATCCACTTAGGTCAAAACGTATGGCTACCAAAACAAAGCTATGATGATGCAGTTTATAATGCTGCAACAAATTCAATGTTTGTGAAAAATATTGCAATGGCAGTCTTTGGTTCTCAATATTTAAAAGAGCACAGTGTAAAAGGCAAAAGTTGCAACAAAACGAAGAGCAAACCAAGGCCAGCAATTGATCTTACCAAGGCTCTAGCTGTACGAGGTAACATTATTAATATAATTTATGTCATTGTGATTCTTGTTTACTTTTTATCACTATCTATAAATATCTTATTCCTATTGTAAAAAACTACCGTCATTAAAGATTAATTTCTTTAATGATTAATTTTGAATGTTTTTGTATACTAATACAAAGTAACAAACACACTGTGTAAAATCATAAATTATGTATGTCTAACACATTATGATAAGTAACAGAAGTATTAGACTGTAAGTTAATAAGCTAATTTAGAGCAGTTTATACTTTATTCAGTGAAATGCATATATAAACATTGCTAACGTATATTTTTCAGATATATTTGAGTATTATTTAAAGACTAACAAACAGTTGATTGGATCGAATTTGTTGTCAGAGAGAGACACGTACGAAGACCACATCAGAGCAAAAATTTCAGATTTACTCCGACCACCGAAAACATCTAAGCCAAAGGGTAAGAAAATAATGCTTTTCATTTATAGAGAACTATTGGAATCTGAATATTAATCGGTATTTAGAAACAGAATACATATATTTAATTTCATCTTGTCTTTATCAACTGATAAACTAGTTCCTAAAGTACCACCGAAGACTATGGAATCTAGTAGCAGTAGCTATGAAAGCTCTGTTGGCTCCGATGACGAGAAGAATACAGAAGAAGAGATGCAAAAAGAAGATGCAGCAGAAGAAAGTAGTGTAGAGTAAAATTAAAGATCATTTTGTACTTTCGTTTGTTTTTTCCTATTAAAAATCCACAGCTAAACTTGTGAATGGCCTAATGAACACTATTAAAATAAAAATAGAATTTAATATGGATCATCCATTTTTTATATTGCTCTGAAGTCCTTTTAATAGTTATTTGCAGATGAAAATATATAAAATTATCTGTATTAAGCATGGAATATTCCTGTAAAGGCCCACAGCTACACTTGGGTATATCCAAATATATAACATTAAACCTGGAATAAAAATTTAGTATGGATAGTCCATTCGATCTCATAAAGCTTTAAGGAAGTTCTAATTGTTATTTACAGATAAAAATACATTAAAATACTCTTATTTTCATATCGGATATTCCTATAAAGGCCTATAGCTACATCTGAGCATATTCCGATACATAACATTAGACTTAAAACAAAAGTCCAATCTGAATAATCCATTTGATACCACATAGTTATAAGATAGTCTTAATTGTATTTTACAGATGAAAATACATAAAATTGATTGTAATATAATACTGGATTTTCATATAGACGCCCACAATTACACCTAAGTATAATTTCTTATGTAACTCTGATGTCCTTTTAATAGTTATTTGCAGATAAAAATATATAGAATTTTATGTATTACTGTATGGAATATTCCTGTAAAAGCCTACAGCTACACTTGGGTATATCCAAATATATAACATTAAACTTGGAATAAAAATTTAGTATGGATAGTCCATTCGATCTCATAAAGCTTTAAGGTAGTTCTAATTGTTATTTACAGATAAAAACACATTAAAATACTCTTATTTTTATATCGGATATTCCTATACAGGCCTATAGCTACATCTGAGTATATCCAGATACATAACATTAGACTTGAAACAAAATCTGAATTATCCATTTGATACCACATAGTTATAAGATAGTCTTAATTGTATTTTACAGATGAAAATACATAAAAGTGATTGTAATATAATACTGGCTTTTCATATAGAGGCCCACAACTACACCTAGGTATATCCAGTTGTATAACGATAGACTTGGCATAAAAATCCACTCGGGATAGTCCGATTGATATAAGTAGACGTAAGATACTCTTAAAGTTAATTTACCGATAAAAACATATTAAACTAAAGTTATCATACAACTGGACACTCCACCAGAAAACACTTTTTATCATTACGCTATGTTATTGGATTTTCTAATAGAACCCACTTGCTCTAGTACAGCTTGGTAAATCCAGATAGAAATTCTCTTGGCATACAAATTCCATTAAAATCCAGATAGAAATTCTCGAGGCATATAAATTCCATTAAACTTTTCGTTTTTTTTTCCTTTGAAAATTTGTATAGATATGTATATGGATTTGCAGCGACAAAAGCACATTAGACCCCAATACAGTTATTTTTTATTGGAATCTATAGGATTATTTCAACAAGGACATTCACTGAAGTTAAAAGGAAAGTCAAAATCGGTAAATTGGGCGTTGGAGTCGATAAATTGAAAAAAACCCAAACAGGAAAATTAGTAATTGGTTGTACTGGGAAAGAAGATCGTGAAAAATTGGCCAGTGAACTGAAAAAAAATATGGGTCAAAATTATAATATTAAAGTTATGGATAAAAAATTACCAAAAGTAAAGATTATTGATATTGATAGTGATACAATGGAAAATAATGAAGAAAAGGATATTATCGATATGATAAAAAAACAAAATGGAATAGTAACAAACTTGTCAACTAAAATGACAATAAAGAAAAAATTTATGGGAAAAAATAAAAATGGAATTATTATCATGGAGGTGGATCCAGATACTCACAAGTATTTACCGGAAAAAATAAAAATTAAACTCGATTGGAATTTATGCCGAGTATTTGATTGTGTCAGTGTCCTTCGGTGCTACAAATGTTGGGGATTTAATCATTTTGCTAAAGACTGTAAGAGTGAACAGAAATGTCGTAAATGTTCGGGAAATCATTTGGAGAAAGATTGCCAAGAGGAAGTTAAAAAATGTATAAATTGTGTAAAAATGGTGATTGATTTCAAGTTAGAAGGAATAAAAACTGATCACTGTGCAAATGATATAGAATGTGAATGTTATAAAAGGGCAATAAACAGAGCACGAAAAAATATAAATTATAAATACTAACAATTATTGCATAACAAGGATCTTATAAAAAATAGTAAAAGGTCATTTAAAATAGTGGCATTAAATATCAACGGTTTAATTAGGAACAAAGACATTTTTGAAAAATGGTTATTCACTGTTAAGCCTGATGTAATTTGTTTGACAGAAACACACATAGGTCCAGACGTATTTGACCATGAAATTGAATTTAAAAACTATAGTCATGTGCGGACGAATACAAGAAATAATCGAACCGGTGGTGTTATTACGTATATTAATAACAATTATAAATTTAAGATATTGCTGAATAGTACTGAAATCAGTGATAAAACTTGGATTAATGTGGTTCAAATAGGCGGGAGTGATGGTTTTGTCATTGTAAATGTTTATAGATCACCAAAAAATCGTGTGAGTGAGTTTAAAGAAAATATGGTTGAGTTATTAGAAAACTATGTTGATAAGGGAAAACTTATAACAGTAGGCGATTTTAATTTAGATGTTGGCAGTGACAAGGATCGTTATGCTCGTAATTTTGTCAATGAATGTGCCTTGCTGGGACTCAAGCAACTTGTCAAAGTGCCGACGAGATCAACATTGACATCGGACACAATAATTGACCTAGTGTTTTCAAATGTGGAGTTGTATATTGATGTTTTGTCTACACCCAGGGTGTCTGATCACAACATTATTGTTATAAATTCAGATTTAAATATTGAACAAAGTAAAAATCTGGGAGTAATAGAAAAAAGAAACTTTAACAAATTTGATCCAAACATATTTTGTGATATTTTTGCTGATAGATATAAGATAGATATTAATGATGATATAGATGTAGTTATCAATAAATTTAATAGTAGTATAACATATGCTCTGGATGTGGTGGCACCAAAGACAGAAAAAATTGTTAAACCTAAATATTACGATAAAAAATGGATTACAAAAGAGTTAATTGAAAAAATGAAGGAAAGAGATCGATTATTCTTTGTATCTAAAAAATTCGGAATAGAAGAGGATATCAATAATTATAAAAGACTAAGAAATGATATTGTAGATGAATTAAGAACATGCAAAAGAGAACATAATGATAATAATATAGATGCAAATAAAAATAATGGAAAAATTCTTTGGAGAGAGTTAAAAGAACTGATAGGAAGTAAAAAAACTCAATCTAATATTGAGAGTATTGAATGTGATAATAAGATTATATATGATAATTTAGTGATCTCCAATAAATTTAACCATTATTTCATTGACAGTATTGAGAAAATTGTTTATGAGATAGGATTTAATCAATTGAAGGATGTAGTTAGTGATAATAGTAATAATCAAAAGTGGGATAGTTTTCATAGAGTGTATGTAAATGATTTAGATAAGATTATACAGAGTTTGGATAATAAAAAAGGATTTTATAATGATGTTAATTCTGTAAATTTAAAACATTTATGGAATTTTGATAAAAATAACATATTAGAGATTATGAATAAATCATTAGAATCTGGTGTTGTACCTGATTGTTTGAAAATCTCTAGAATTGAACCGATTCAAAAAATTAAAGATAGCATAAAATTAACTGACTTTAGACCAATAAATACACTGCCAGTATTAGAACAAGTATTAGAGAGTATAGTAAAATCACAGTTAGATAAATTTATTGTTAAAAATAAAATATTGAACGAGGAACAATCTGGTTTTAGAAAGGAGCACTCATGTGAAACAGCCATGCAGTGCTCTTTGATAGACTGGAGAAATGATATCGATAAAGGGTTATATGTAGGAGTAGTATTTATTGACTTTGCGAGAGCGTTTGAAACGATAAATAGAGATAAATTGTTGACTATATTAAAAAAACTGGGAATTGGTGGCAATGTGTTAAATTGGTTTAAGTCATATTTAAATAAAAGGAAACAGGTGGTACAATTCAATGATTGTGTATCTGATCAAAAAATTGTTAAACATGGAGTACCTCAAGGCTCTAAGTTGGGTCCACTGTTGTTTATAATATATATAAATAATGTAATTAGCTTAATGAAAAACCAGGGTATTGAATGTAAACTTTTTGCGGATGATATGAAACTGTATTATTCTAGTAAAGATGAAAAAGAAATTGAATGTAAATTAAATACGAGATTGTTAAAACTATCAGAATGGCTCAAAGAACATCAACTCAAAATAAATATAAAAAAGACTGTATTTATGCTGTTACATGATGTAAGAAAAAAGTATAAAATGGGAAGTTGTAAAATTAAGATCAGTAACGAATGTATTGTTGAAGTGAGTAAAACCAAATATTTAGGTGTAACAATAGATAATAACTTAACATTTTAAAATCATTTAATGGAAACTGGAAAAAAAATAGCTAAAAAACTAAATATAATTTATCGATTAAATAAGTCAGTAAGTCCATGGACAAAGAATACCATTTATAAGGCAGTAATCGGTCCCCACTTTGACTACTGTGCTAGCTTAATGATGAATTACAATCAACGACAATTAAATGTACTGCAAAAAATCCAAAATAGAGCTATGCGTATTGTGTTAGGTGTAAATAGATATACAAGGATAAGCGAAATGTTAGCAGCGTTAGGATGGATGAGTATAAGACAGTTGATGGTATACAGATGCTGTATATTAATACATAAAATGAAAATAGAGCAGGCACCTTCTTATTTGGTAAATAAAATCTCTTTTGTTGGTGAATATCATGATTATACTAGACAAAGAAATGAAGTACAAATTAAATTTACAAGAACGCACACCGCAGAAAAGTGCTTAATTTATCGCGGTTTTATATGGTACAATTACCTCCCTGAAACAACAAAAAATGAAACAAGACTGAAAATATTTAAAACAGAGTTGAGAAATTTTGTAAAAGAAAATTATTAAAATTCTAATTATCCATTGTATAATTACTTTTTTATATTTATATGTATATAAAACTAGCAATTTTGCTAATAATAAAGTATCGAAAGTTAAAAAGCACTGAGCGAGGTGGGTGACCGCTTGTGTTAAATCAATAAAATTACCTGTAGTGATTTCTTTTTCATTTTAATTGGCTATAGAGGATTAGTTGCAACCATAAAAAGTATAATTTATGAATATTATCAATTATTTAACGAGAAGTGATTGTAAATTGTGACATACAATAATCTGATCAGACATAAACGGATCTGATCAGACCCGTTTAGTATAGCCAGTTATGGTCGAGCCCGGTCATTTTTTATATCTGATCAAACCTGAAGACTGATGCCTGCTTATATCTGATTAGATCTGATCATTTCTTTCCCGGGAAGACAATTATTTATAAAAATATAACTGGTGAATAATTTAAAGGGAAATCCTTGGCACAAGTGACACGGAATTGTTTTTAATAAGTGAGGATGTATTGGTGGACAAATTTATAGCTAAAAAACTTTAATAATTATTTACATAGAAATCCTTAGCACGGATAGCATGGAATTTTTTACCGAAAAATAAATAGATTTGGACATTTCCCCTACAACTTATATAAGAAATATTTAAGTAATTTATTCACTAGAAAATCCTTAGCAAGGAATTGCTTATAATAAATAAAACATTGTTGGTATGTCAATTATTGTTTATTGTAACAAAAAATGTTGTTAACTACGCAATTCTTACCTTTTAAACGTTTTTAATGCATTTACATCGTCTTAATTATAAACATAACCTGTATTTTTATTTTTTTTCCTATCATTAATGTTGTCAAAATTCATTATTTACATTTTTAACTTACAGTTATACTAATAAAATGAAAGATGTTCATAACTAACACACCTATTTTGACACAGATGACCCAGTATTTCATATAAAGATTTTTCATAATCAATACCCAGTCGAATGTATTTTCAAATTGAGATTATTAAGTTTTTAATTATATTTTTAATAAAGTTTTTAATTTATATTTAGAAGGAATAAGAAAATATTTTCAGTAGCAACTTAACTAATTAAAATAAAAGATTGTTAAAAATGTACGGATAAGACCGACACGGTTGGCCCGATATTATTTTCCAAAAGCACACATGAGCTAATTTTCTTTATAAATGTGGGATGGTCATTTTTTAGATTTAAGTTTCTCTATTTTATTGTTTTATTGCACCTTTGTACTTAGCAGTAAGTATTTTTTCGAAAAGGTAAATAAAGGGATTAAGAAAAATTCCCAAATAACAGATGTTTAGTTAAGATAGTTTGGAAAATATTCGTATGCGTGGGAACGTAAGTATAGATTTGTCTCGTGGCAAAAATGTACATTATAAGTACCGAGAGTGTAAGAACGAAGTATGACTGATGCGGGGGTGAGAAACCCAGGTAGTAAGTAAGATCTAATTGTATGGGACTCGAAGAGGCAGTTCCTACTTAACTTCGATGTACGACAGACCTCTGTCTTTTAACTCTGTCAATTTTTCTAATAAATACTCACTTTAAATTAACCGCCCCGTGATACCTTAATAATAACATCTTTAATAAACATTTAGTATCCTATCCAATAAAATCCGATACTACATAAATAAGGTAATATTTATAATATTTTTGAGCTTCTTCTTCTGAAGAGGTTTTTATATTTTCTCCCAAATTTACATATGCTTTTGGTGCATTATATACAGTAAATAGTACTGCAGGATCCGTTGAGGCGATAAGCTTATGCCTAATGTCCCTTATTTGGTGCATGATTGCAGGCGGATTTTCAGGATCATTGATCGCTGTATACATTGTATAATTTTCGAATTCATATTTTTCTTCATAACTCTCTTTTACATTATTAATTAGTTTTTCAACAATCTTCCTCTCGTTTTCTTTTAATTCTTTTATATGGTTAATTTTTTTAATTTCATCAATTAAATTTAATTCTTCATTGTCTTCTTTTATTTTTTTCTTTATATCTTGCCAGAATAAGACGTACTCTTCGTTGTTTTTTTTTGATTCCGGGTTTTGGTACGGTTGTATATATTTTCCAGTTTCTACAGAATGTAAATCGATGCGTTCCTCTCGCAGAATCATTATAAGTGTAGCTACAAAACATAAATAATTATTGTCAATTACGGAGCTATTTACAATTTTTCCTTGCATAAGTGATGCAGTTACTTGCATTTTAACACTTAGTAAGAAATTTTTCGTCATTGTGTTAAATGTAAAAGTGTTAGTGTAAACGTTAAACATTTTAACGTGTTGATTTAATACGATTAATCATTTATATCTTTCCATTGATCCGCTTGCCATTACAAAAATATGTTTTTCAATACTTGAGTAACACTTTTTCAATGCTACACTTACATAAAGCTGTGTTACTTTACTTCTAAGGTAGCTGTCGCGGTTAAACCATAACATCGAAAAATTTTAAATTTTTGTATATTTATTAGGAACATGATGATACAATTACCCTTGAAATTTTGTCGAGTAACCATCTATAACCTGAGATGAATTCAATTAATAGTTGGATATTTAACATTGATTGCATATGCTCTTTACAGTTATGTACCAGTTTCTTAGTTTAAAAAAAGAAAACTGTCAGAAACTTTTAAAAAACTGACATTCTTTTAATGTAATTGTTTTCAGTTGAAAAAAATTTTTTTTTAATTTTTGACGATTAATTATTTATATACAACGTATTAAAGTTCAAAAATATATGAAAAATTACATACAGAGTGTATATTATCTATATATAGAGAGTATAATATATAAATATATGAATGCTAAGAATACTAGAAATCTAATTTGAAATGATTTAAATGAATCAGTGAACTACCTTTTAACGCAGATTAGTGTTATTTTCACACAAAACTGTGTTACACACAGGTACTGTTTTTCAGTTAAATTTGACGAAAAATTTGATACTGTCCAGTGAAAATAAAAATTAATAAATAAATAAATAAATGAACATTTTTACAATTTACCAAGAAATTTATTGCAATGTGGGTGTTTGCCTACAAGTCGATTAAGTTGACTGTGGTAAGACTCTATAACATTAGTTGTACGGTCCTCCCCCCTATCGAAATTAGAGATCTGCACAGGTCCTTCTTTGCATAACCATTGATCATGATAGTACTCGAAGTAGTCCTCAAAAAAATCACCAAAACTTTCTGTCGCTTCTTTTTTAATAGCTTCATACGTTTTGCTAATGCAGTTTGCAGGAAGCAAAGCTAAATATTTTAATAAATTTATTACACAGAAAGTTTCAGGATTTGACCACGTACTCGAGGATGTACTAATTATTTTTTTGTCCGTGCATTTTTAACTAGTGCCTATAAGAGGTATTATTTATAAGAGATATTATTTATGTAGGTAACTGTATGAATTCAAGAATGAGTGGTTGTGCGTGATTAATGTATTGTTTACCCTGTTTAAAAATATTGATTGAGAAGAATTGAAATTGATAATATTTGAATTCTTTTTAATAATTTCAATTCTTTTGTTTGTATATATAGATATACAGTTTGCATGGAGTGACCGCTTTTCAATTCTTTTCAATCATTATTTTTAATCAGGGTAACGAAATCACTTCAAGATGATGTAAAATGAGGATTTAAAAAAGCCATACGGCATTCTAAGTGAAAATAGATTTCTTGAAGTTGATATTTTGAGTTTTCGTGTAGTCAATTTAGAACTAAAGTTGAAGGGGTTAAACGGGTTGTTCCAAAACATGGAACTATAAGCCTGTCTTTTCTACATTTGTAAATATATCACAGAAATTGGAATACTGCCGTTAAAAATATTTTTTTTTTTTTAAGAAAAGCCACCAAAGTAGATTCTTACTTTGTCTATGACTATTAATTTTTATCAAATTGTTAGAAACTTTTATGAAGCTTTAGTTTTATAGATTAAATTGATCGCTGTGTACGGTATTCGTGGCACGGATGGCACGGCCTTACCATATTTCGGTAAAGTTAGATAATTTTTTTTTATTTTTTCCATCAATTTCATTCGGTTTTATCTCACTCTGTTATTATATACGTTCCAAATAATCTTATACTTACTTGACTATAATGAAAATAACAAGTTCTAGTAGTTATTGCAGGGTAAACAATTTTCAACACATTCCTCATGGCAATTTCATGGTCCGTTAAACTTTCCCGTGGTTGGAAATTGGGAAATTTACGAGCAAAATACCTGAAAGCTTTTAAATAGCACTCCTGTGATTTGTTCGTCATTAACACCCAAAAAATAGGAAAAGCCTGTAAAAAAATTTTGTAACAGTCATCAAAAGCTGTCATTCTCAACTATTACTATATTTACGGTTACTGTGCGGTAACGGTTATCATAGCAACGATAATTATAGTTATCAATAATACCTTTACACATCCATTCGTTGTTACCTTAGCCAAAATGCTTAAAAACTGCATATTGCTATTATTTTGCACGTTTGGCACGGTATCGAATGTCGCGTCAATATAAATGAGACCATCGAATGGACAGAGTTGTTGTACAAATTCTTCATCGAAGAAGTACAAGTTTGTGGCGGTGATCATCTGTTTTTTGTAGTTTTGTAAATCAAATCTGTCCATTCCAGTACTCAGGCTGTATTCCTGTTGATTGTGTTCATAATTCATGCATTTACTGTCCATGTTCAATGCAAGAAATTCCTTCAATTCTTCCACTGTATGAACATTCACACCAATGTTCATCCGTTGAGGATTCTCTTGATTTAGAATGCGTTGAATTCTACGACGAACCGTTGGATTATACGCCACTGCAGAACTTTCATTACCAATTCTTGATTGTGCATCAAGGTTAAGATGTTAGTTAATTTGTAAATATAGTTAAAAAAATCGCATTTAAAAGGTTGATGAGGCAATCGTATAAATCTGCTTGTAAAAAATTTTTAAAAGCAACTGTTCTCATAAAATTCTAAAAAATAGCGCCAAGAGTTCATAGTTCCTGTGATTCTTTTACTTGTTTGGCTTCGTAAAAGTTTTTAACCGAAGCTTTCTATGAAACAAATTAATTTTCTCCCCTCCGTGCGGAAAACGTCAATTTTCCGCCCGCTGCGCTAAGCGAAAATGCCGCTTTCTGCCTCCGTCGAGGAGAAATAGTATATAAAAAACCGAGGGAAGTAAAGTAAGAAATGTCTCAGATCACATGTAATTGTTGGCCGACGCGAAGCCGAGGTCAACAAATATGTGATCTGAGGCTTTCTTATTTACTTCTCGAGGACGAAGGCAGAAAGTGGCAATTTCGTTTAGCGCAGCGAGCCGAAATTTGTCGCTTTCTGCCCGTCGAGTAAAAAAATAGTATTCTCTCCACGGGCAGGAAATAAGAAAGCCTCAGATCACATGTTTGTCGACCTCGGCTTCGCCTCGGTCAACAATTACATGTAATCTGAGACATTTCTTATTTTCCTGCCCTAGATAAGAAAAATACTATAGCTGTTTACTTCCAATAGTCTTTGCAAGTAATCGATGTACCAAAGAATTAAAAATAAATTACGTACGATAAGTAAATAACATGTAGTCTATGCGCTGATTAAGTCGATAATTGTTCTTTGAATCTCGCGCGATCATTTTTAATAGTTATTTATTATTTAATACCATTCTATGCTCTGAATCTATACCATTAGTTAGGCAGAATATTAAATGTATAAATTTATTTCATTGCTAATATTTTTATTGGAGTTAAAACCTACCGTTACATTCACGGAAATCGTGGAACGGATGGCACGGCTTCATTATTTGCCGGTAATAGACATAATTTTTTTTCTACCAACGTTTTTTCAATTTACATCAAATTTCATGTCATAAATTAGTAAACTTTTTTCCCTCAAAGGTTTTTAAGTGTTAGATGACAACAGTAAAGTATCAAAAATTTTTGACAAACACATCTACATGCAATTTAATTTTATTTTTTGCTCATGTTTTTGCACCTACCATGCAGCAAAATGTGAAAAGCAGAAAGCAATTATGTGCATCAATACACTTTTATTAATAAGCCAATTATCGTTGTTTTAGACATCCTTAATGTTATCTTAAATTTAAGCATTTATTATGATTAAATAGAGTACAGATAGGAAAGCTACATATAGGAAAGCTACAGATACGAAAACTACATGCAAAAAAATTAATAAGCGTGAATTAGCGTAAGCTATATGATTTTATTGTATCATTTTATATTAATCATATAATCTGAATTCCAATAAGCTAAGCGTCATTAAGAATGATATATTAGGGTTACTTCAATTTAGCGGCGCGGTATACTTCTCTCGGCTCCTGTCCTGGAACACAACTCAAATCTCTGATGGTTGAAAAAACCTTATCAACTGTTTCTAAATTAGGATTTAGATCATGATTGTGTTTGGCGTTTTCGGCTGCTGAAAATTGTTTGTCTTGAAAGTACCCGTGGCCTGGACACCTAGGCTTAACGCAATATAGGTGGCTACAATAATAAATATTAAATGAAATTTAAGGACATAACAATTTGTCAATCTTACACAAAGATAAATATTCTTGTTATACAACATAAGCAATCAGAAATTATAAGATATTACTTTTTTTTCTTCCCTTAAATCTGTTAGATATATGTTTCACATATTGGTGATAATATTTAAACTATGTATGGTTACCTCAATTGTACTTACATTTTAGTTCCACCCATTGTTTTTTTGGTAACACGATAAGCGTAACCCTTAAAGTGCCACTTTCCGTATTTGCTTTTTTTTTTTGTTTTCAGTTAAATTCGCACTTTTATTAATTTTAACCCTCATCTTCAATTAAATTTAATTTGATATTTAATATGACCAAGAATTTCAAGACACTAAATTTTTAACCTTAAATGAAAGCAATCCAGAAACGCCAAATTTTTTATCTTTCATCATCGATTGATTACTAATCACATTGACCAGTGCTGCTTTAAAAAATTTTAATGAAAACTGCCGATTAACGACGTTGCAGTAGCCCAATCAGGAAGCAAATGTATATTAATATACAATTTAAAATTTTATTTCACAAAAATAGTTTAAGTCAGAGTGTGTCACATAAATTTTAATTTAATACTTATTTGAATGCCTATAATACTTTTTTAAAAAATAATATCGGATAATCTGTGCCTAGGTAGGTCCGGCGAATTATTAGTTATAATCATTTTCCGTTATATATGTACATCAACGTGGGTATAAAAGTTTTCAGTAATAGGAAAAAATAAGAAGCAAATAAATATTATTTATCATGCAATTAAAGTCGAAATATTAACTACAGCATTAAATTATTTAATTTAATAAACAAATTTTAATTTACAAACACATCAGAAATTCTAAAAACTACATAGATTTATTTATTCCGATATTGTGTCCGAAAAATTGTTATACATATATTTATAGCAAAACTGCGACTTACCTGTACTGATTTTGAATTATTCATATTAGGTAGCCGAATAGTGATCTTCAAGTAGTAAAAGAAAGGTATAATAATAACAGATGTGATTAAAATTTCACAATTAAAGAGATATTGATTGTATGAATATTATTACTTAAAAAACATTACTTAAAAAATTATCAACAAAAATGATTAATTTTAATTAATTCTATTTTAGAACTTTATATTTTATCAAATAATAAGAAAATAACTTGGGAAAATTAGTTACAGTGTATATTTTTTTTAACATGAAGTCTTAACTTTCCAAACTAGATTTGTATTTCGGACAAAAAAAAATATTAAATTTCACATTTTTATTTACGAATTTACTTATAATTTAATCTTTTAAAAATTTGTTTATAAACTTTTCATATTTATATAGCTCATCTGAATTTTAAAATTATTTTTCTTACCGTTAACTTATTATTTGATTTGGCGCCCTTTGTACGAAACCTCGTTATTTTCGCTTAACATAACCTAAAATTTTGATCGCGAAATTCTTTTCTCATTAATGTCCATTGTTATTTAAAAATTTAATGAAAAAATGTCCAGAAATTCGAAGAAGATACCTGCAAAATTTCATTCGTATGATGAATTGAATAAATGGCTTCTTAATTATCAGAAAACCAAAGGTAACAAATTTAACGTTCACAATAGTGAATCATTGCATAAAGTTTACAAAAATCGACCTGCTGTCGATTTTAATCCGTATCTTATATATGATAGGATTAAATACAGATGCTCAACATTTGAACAAAAAGAAAAAGATTTGCCGTAAGTATCGAAATAATTGTGTATTTTTGACACTTTTTAATATCATTTTTTATTAACAGGGAGACTTGTCCTGCAAAATTGTGGGTAAGCACATCACCGCATAAAAAAAATCTGCGGGTCGATGAATTTAATAATGAACACAATCATCCACCCACTGTAAGTAATAGGAAGTTTTGTGTTTTTTAGAAAAAAATTACTTTTTTGACAGCTAAGTATACCTACACTCTTTTTTTAAGATTTCAATTAAATAAATTATGATTTTTTCTGTTTCAGATAGTTGGAAAAGATGGACCGATAAAACAAAGGCAACTCCTTCTGGAAAATGCTCTGAAGCTTTATAAAAAATTTCAGGCCCAAAAATCAGGACCTGTAAAAAAAACTATTACAGAAAGTAGAAGAAAATCTGATTATAAATTGCCAAAAAGTGGTCATACAAGCACTAACAAATATGCCAGTATGCAACCTGTAGTTATGTTAAGGCGAATTAATGATCCTGCAGACGTCGAATTTATCAAATTCACATCTTTTCTTGAGTCATTAAGACCTAAAGTAGATGTGGAAAGTATTTTGAATTATAACAGTTATATAAATCTTCATAACTTACTAAAGATTGACAAAAATAATGTTTCAAAAATATTAAATTTTGATCTACGTAAAATGGAGAAATATTTTACAAAATCAGCGTACATAGCTTTGAATACATTGATGAACGCGAAAACAAAGTCTCAATAATAATTATAATAAATTCATAATGATTATATTCTATTTAGCCAACGTTCTTGTATACTGATTTTCTATGTGTTTATGAAAAATAAAATTATAAGTATTAATCAACTAAGACTTTTTATTCAATAATTGATAGAGAACCCATAATAATGTTTACTTTAAAAATAATACTGGTCTATCTTAGTGGATATATTTTTTAAAATATTTTTTGTTAATTTTGTAATACTCTTTTGGCGTTTTTTAGATGTTTGGCTGGCTATCAATACATTTGATAAATTATTCCGGGCCATCCGTGTATGGAATTTTTTACGTGAAATTTAAATAATTATCATTAATCATAATTTTTATTGAAAATTATAATATTGTTTAAGCTGATTTTATGTTATTTTAACTGAAAAAAATTATTTAAAATATGGCAAAGGGGGCTAAGGAAAGTCGAGTCTTATCCCGACTTTTTATAAATATGTAAGCCAGGTATATATTATCCCTACCCATTTTTTAAATTACTGCTAGGTTATTTGTAAGAAAGTTTTTCTTCGTTAATTTTCAATTACTTTTTATTTCTATCTGTCAATTAGCCTGAACCTATGAATCCTTTTGTTTTTAATAATTATTCCGGGCCATCCGTGCTTAGAAAACTTCACGTGAATTTTCAATAATTATTCATTTTAACAGTCAAATTGATCTCTTATCGAATAAGTACTGCATTTCTTCAAATGATTAAAAATTATCCATGCTAAAGTTAAACTTGCTTATTTCATAATATTTTTTTTTATTTTATTGTTCACAAAATTTTATATAATTAAAAGAAAAGCAAACTTAAACCGTTTCTGGTACAAAAATGCGTCAGAAAGTTTTTCAATGCACCTTGCTTTAGACTTGTCTCATATTCTTGCACAAGATGTCTTGAGCTAGTTATATATAAATCTTGAACCATGTCGTGCCGCTGGCACCAAAATCTTGCTCAAGCACATGTTACGTGGGAAATAATCTCCCCTTAGTCGAGTCATGATAAGCCACATAAGATTTTATCAAAATATGTTTTTTTTATTCATTACTTGCGATCATCTATTTATAATAATACGGTATTTGATAAATTATCCCGGGCCATCCGTGCCAAGACATTTTTGATTCTGATTTATTTCTATGAAATAATTAGCCTTTTACTTATTATATATCATTTTTTTTCTTCAACAGTTACGGACCATTTCCACCAAACCCTCTTTCGTTAATTATTAACAATCGGTAAATTAAAATGATCTCCTCAACGTTTGACCTTGCATCTGAAATTAAAATTTATTAGCAATGGTTTTGATTTAAAAATGGGACAATATTAATAAATTTTGCATAGAGTGAAGCAACAAAACTGGAAGCAGTAGGGAAGAAGTGGCATACGTGTCTCTGACTGTTGGTCTCAGATTACATTTTCATATTTTAAGTAGTAATACACCACCTGTTTCAAAGCTAAATTCTAATATTAATAATAATTTTTATTATAAATTATAACTTCGTTTAAGTTAGTTATATATTATTTAAAATTAAAACAAATTATTTTATTGTATGATAAGGTGGGCTAAGGAGAGTCAGGCTTCAGCGTCATTTCTTATAACAATCTGAGTCAGTTATTAGTCATCCCTTTCTTTCCATAGTTCTACCAGATCATTTGTAAAAAATTTTTTCTTTAGAAATCATCTATGACCGTTTTTATTCATTAAGTAACAAGGAACCATAAATTTTTTAATTTTTAATAATTAATTCCGGGCCATCCGTGCCAAGAAGTTTTTTTGAAAAATTATTAATATTCACAATGAAATAGACCTTTTACCGGATAGGTATTACATTTTCTTATTTTAAATAGTAATACACCACCTGTTTCAAAGTTAAATTCTAATATTAATAATAATTTTTATTATAAATGATTATATTGTTTAGGTTGATTTCCTATAAATTTGAATAAATAAAATTATTTTAATATATGGTAAAGAGGGCTAAAAAGAGTCGAGTTTTAGCCCTACTCCTTATAAATATCTGAGCCAGGTATGTATTATCCCTACCAGATCATTAGTGAAGAAATTTTTCTTTATAAATCATCTATGATTCTTCGTTTTTATTCAATAAATAATCAAGAACTATTAATGATTTAGTTTTCAACAATCAATTCCGGGCCATCCGTGCCAAGAAATTTAAGGTATATTTTAAACAATCGTTAATTTTTATAATGTAATTGATCTTTCAGCGAATATAACATACTTTTTAAATCATTTAAGTAGTAGTGTCTCACCCGTATCAAGTTTAAACTGTAACATAATTGACCATTTTTCTTTAAGTAATGACATTAATCAGGTAGATTTAATATTTTGTTAAAAAAAAAAAATTTGTTTAATATATGGTAAGGTGTGCTTAGGAGAATCAAGCTTCAGCCTTATTCCTTATAACAATCTAAGTCTCATATTTATTACCCCTTTCTTTCTATAGTTCTGTAAGGTCATGAAAGAAAAAGGTAAGCGATGATGAGCCGAATTTTATCCTGACTCTATATGGCAATTAGAGCCAGGTATATATTATTCCTATTCTTCTATTTTACGACCAGGTCATTAGTAAAAAAGTTTTTCTTTATAAATCTTCTATAACCCTTCATTGTTATTCAATGGATAACCTGAAACTTTTAATTTTTTTGTTATAAATTATTAATTCCGAGCCATCCGTGCCAAGAAATTTTTTATAAAGTTTGAAAAAATAATTAAT